CACTTCATCTGTGATGCGTCCGCCGGGTGAGATATAGCTGCCTAGATAGCAATATTTGTCTACTTCCTCTACTACTTCCCCAGTTAGGGTGAGACTGGGTGCTGGATCAACCCAATCTTGTAGTAGCATTTTACACTTTGAAGGTGCAAAACGCATACCGAACATGGACACACTAGCACTCAAACTATCCAGAAAAGCTTGCAACTTACCTGGATCGTCACTTAGTAGCACAATGTCGTCTGCATACTCTAGATCAGACCGTCTGTCACCTGGGAGTGAATCGATACTGCTATCCTTGCACGAGGATATGGCTGTTTCAAGAATTAGATCTATCACGAAGTTAAATAGAAAAGGAGAGAGAGGGCAACCCTGTTGAACACCACATTCTGTGGTGAACTCGGGTGAAAAAGTGCCGTATGCTCGAACTCGGCTTCGGCTATTATTGTAGAGGGATTGTAATATTGAAAGAAACTTCTCGGGCACACCCATCCGTGAAAAGCAGCACCAGAGTTTAGAGCAGTCGACTGAGTCGAAAGCCGCTTTCAGATCGAGGAAGATACAAATGGTAGGTCTACGGAAGGAGTGTCTATGTTCTAGAATTAAACGAAGAATGAAGATGTGGTCGATACAAACTCGACCAGGTCTAAAACTAGTCTGGTTCTCATGTGTGCACACTTCGTATGCGGCAGACAATTGAAGGAGTATAATACCGGTGAGAAGCTTAGAAGCAATGTTGATTAAACTAATTCCTGTGGTTTTCACAAGGGGACCTGTCGCCTTTCTTGTGAATCGGCATGATCACCGATTCCCACAATTCGGTTGGAACCTGTTCCCTCTCTCACACTGAACCCAGGAGTTTCGTTAACTCCAAAATCAAGACTGAACCTTCATCCTTGAAAACTGATGGGGACAGACCGTCGGGGCCGGAAGCCTTATGCCGTTTGAGGTGACTTATTTCCCGGATAACCTCCATTTCGGATGGAGGACTGATGTCAAATAGCAGTATTTGCACAGTGGAACCGGGTATGGGGAGGTCTCGCGCTGAGGGCCAGTTTAACTGTGCCTTAGAATGTTCTGCCCATCGATCAAGACGACTTTGCTGAATATGAATTAGTGTCGTTAGACTCCTTTATTACCCACGGGGTATCGCATACCATAACTGCGGTACTCATAGACTGTTTCACAAATAGATCTTAGTTCACACGTTACCTTGACAGTTCCTCCGCTTCCTTAATTTCTACATTAGGCGTATTACAGGCTGAAATTCTATCCCCATTTTTCTTTACCACTTATATTTCATCCATGCCTAATTTTCGAAATTCCCTGCTCATTAAATACGTGGACGATGTTGTGGTCGGAATCGCTCACCATGATATATGTCACCACCCTCCAACTTGGTCTTACTAAGCTTGCTGAGTGGTCCACTACATATAACTCTCAAACCCTCTAAATGCGTAGACATGCTTTTTTCACTTCACAAAGGGAATCGTTATGCGAATCTGCTGGAATTCTGTCCCATGTTAAACATACGCGATGATATTACTATATAACCCCTAAATGTCAGGCATCTTAGTGTGTTGATCAGCCGAAATTTCTACTGGTCTGATCAAGTTGAAAAGGTCAAGAAATTATCATTTTACGTCCTGTGCCTGAAAGCACTATCCGACCCTCACGTCTTGATTGAACGTGTTCTTTTCGTCTGTATGTGGCACTATGGATGCACGGGTCCCCTGTGATCTTTCCGGGGATGCTCAAGAAGGACTTTGAATTGCTTTCCAGATCTTTAACACATTTATCAAGAAGTAGCGGTTTTAGTTTCAGTTTTTACAAACACTAACCATGTACTTTCGTGCGTCGGTTTTGGTTGCCGTGTTAAGGTCGACCATTCGGATTACAGAGCAGGATGAATATTTGAATGAAAGCAAATTCAAGCGGAAGACGAAAAATGCATATAGACTAGTGTTAAGAGAATAATTAGTAGATGCAGAGAGCCACTGTTTGCGACACCAAGCCATATCACTCAGTGTCTCTAACCATCGGTGACCATCATCTCGGGATTGCTCGTGAAACTCTGTCACTTCATCATTTCACAGCACACAAGGTCATGTTTTTCGTTATCCACAAAAATCATAAACAACCCTTCACATACGTTAAACCAAAATCTTATCCTGTGTCCTCTTCCACTCGGTCCCGCTATA